AACCTTGGTCTCTCACTGTCATCCACAGCCTTCGGCAAACTGGATTTTCACAATTTGGCGTAATGAAAAGTATGCACTGCATACATGCTTTCGTTCACCCTGTTCCTGTAGCATGTGCATGTATAGGAATGTATAGGATTACTGCATGTACATGCACACTCACACCTACACACACATCAACAACACTCCATGAGTCACGAGTTAATACAATTTTTTGTCACAGACTTCCTGCCCAAGTGCAAACGTTTTCCAGGGGTCACTATGAATTATCTCTAGTGTCACCAGAACTAGGTTGTTTTGCAATAATTATAGTAACCATATATTTCACAGAAAGGAAACGAGGGCATTTTAAAGAATTGTTATACTTTTTCTAGAGTATTAGAATCAACATACATTTGGGGAATAATCAGGAAGACTATTTCATGAATTGTATTGGGAGCAGGGAGTGAATGGAACCCTAATTATGTGTTAATGTCTAAGAATCTAATCTAATTTCCTTTTTCTTCCCTTGATTATTGTCTCCGATATCTTCTTTTATATATATATCTTTTTCTCTTCCTTTTTTGGTGACAATCACATGAGTGAAGCACCCTCAGTGTAGTAACAGAAGTCATGTGAGATGTGCGAGATATCGAGATAGATTACATGTTGAATTGTACATGTAAAAACTGTAGAATTCGTGTAATTCTGTTTGCATATTCCCAACAACAAAATATAAATAAATAAAAAGAATGGTGGGCATATTGTGCCAATGCAGGCACAATGAGTGAGGGCTCAGAGAGGACAGTTTGGGGCTTAACCAAGTCCCCGGGCATGGACTGTAGCACCAGAATTGCCCAGGTGCTGTTGCCACCTAATTGCCAGCTTCAGGGGCGAACTATTTTTCTGGATGCTGTCCTTTCCAGTGTCTAATTTTAACAATTTCCTGAATAGTACTTTCTTCCCTTTCTCTGAATAGATAACTCCCTTATCTTCTCATACTTCTGGAAAAAATCTCTCTACTGTAGAAATGTGTTTATTGGTGTATCATGTCAATAAATAATAATTATTGTCATTCAAAGGAGCTCCATGGCATAGTGAGTGGTTAAGTGCTTGACTACTAACTAAAAAGTCTGAGGTTCAAACCAGGACCACCAATCCATATGAAATGGTTCATTCGTGGCCAATGTACCCCGTATGTTGCATAGCAACCACATTTCTTGCTAGTGGGATTTTGACTTCAGAAGGGAAAAAAGAAAGAAAGAAAATCCCTGCTCAGAGATGGCAGCAACTGTGCCATTTAAAATGCATGTCATCTGGCATCTTTGAGCCAGTCATCACTGCCTAGCTCTTACTTGAGTTAAAATCCCGTTGTCAAGAGATTAGATATGCAACACATACATGCTATCAGTCATGAGGGAATTGTTTAAAACTGGGTTTAAAGGTTAGTTTGAAACCACCAGCTACGCCATAGGATAAAGAAATGGAAATCTCCTCCTATG